AGTTTTAAGGCAAGTAGGAACCCAGAAGTCAATAGTCTGAACACTGAATAGTAGGTGCTTAGTGATGTATTTGTGCACATCCCTGTCTTCTTTTCCAGAAATAGTCACAAACTATCTGCTATGCAGTCTTACATTACAAGTAAAGTATTAATATTACTTTTCCCCATTAGCTTTGTTTTGGAATTCTCAAAATATGTAGAGAGTCCAGATGTCTGTTTATACTCAGTTCTTCTTCCAGTTACAAATTTCTAATTATTTGGGTGATATCCTTCTGCCAGTGATTTTCTGCATCATGTCTTAGCATTAAGTAAAAACAAACTGCCTGTCATAAGACATGTTTTTTTACTTAAAAGGGAGTACTATAGAAAATACTTGATTTAGATTGGTGGTCAGATTAGATTAAATTCCCTTCTGGTTTTAAAACTCTACACAGCTAAGGCCTTCTCTAGGAATTATTTTAGAGCATTCTCTCTTCTGTGTCACTTTTGAACATTTCTCTGAAGGAACTGGTATTTGAAGGGGCTTCATGAGTATATTCTGTTGCTTCTTCCAATATTCCCTGGTGACTACTACTCATTTTCCTCTTGTATAGCATTTAACGAACAGAAGAGACCTAAGCCTCTTTTCACCCTCTCACATGCAAGATGTTGCAGTGAAAGCTGAACACTAACAGAAAGGGTTTTAGTAAGCCAGACTGAGTGTACTTTTGAGTGATTATATGGATCAACTTTGGCCTTAAAATCTCCTAAACTGGTTAAGACTGTGAGGAAGAGTACAACGGCCAGCTGGTTGAAACTGCTCTTTTCACTTGTACCCGACTCATTCAGCTAACACTTATTTTTCCAGTAAGTCAAAGCAGTTGAACTGACTTCTTCCTTTTGACTTCTGATCCTGTTCACAGGAAAAGCAGAAATTCTTAGGGGTGAATTATTGCAAGGAAGGGCCTGAGGGAAATGACATTCGAAAGACAAATGTTGCCCAGATCCGGATGGCCTTCAGGTATGAGACTCTGTGCAATGAACTCAGCTTCCTGGCTGATGCCATGAGAACAGAAGATATTTCTACCCTGTCCAAGTAGTTACAAACTCAGAGAAACCAGAATATATCCCTCTTAAGCAGGATAAGATGCTAATTAACCTCAAATCACCTGTCTTTGATGCTGTGGAGACATAACTGAACAGTACAGAGACAAAGGGAGTATCTGTGGAAGGTAAACAGCGTTTGCCATCCCGTTACTGCGTTATTCTCGTTGCAAAGATTTCGGTTTCTACGAACATTAGGCTTTTTAAGATTGCTGTAACTATTAAATGCAAACTCAGAATCATGTACTATTTGTTTCATACTGTCTTAACTGTGCCCTGCTGTGTAGCCTGGGAAACCAGAGAGAGTATCTGTAGTGCAGATGTGCTGTGCACCTGAGGATCCTGCAGATGCTGACAGCACACACCCACCTGGGTTGGTCTGCACGTCTCAGTACCAGTCATGGCTTTTAAGACTTTTAAGTTTAACCCTTTATTCATTAGTAGTTTTTATGGGGTTTTAAGGCTACCCTTTCATTCTGGAAGGTGTTCTGACACAGTTTTTAACTCAATGTTTCAGCAGTTATATTGGAAAACAAGAAACTCCAACATCAAGTAATCTTGTTCAATGACTAATTCCTGTTGTTATGTAGGATGTTAGTGAAGAGCAGCAGATTAATGCTTTTTAATCTAGCAAATGGAAAACATGGTGTCAAAATCACTATTATATATTGTAATGAGTCTAATTACATCAAGAAAATTTTGCCTTGAAAGTTGAGAACACTTTTTTTATTGCTTTGTAATGGGAATATATAGATGTGCCCATTCAAATTATTTAGAAATGTATGCAGATAATTCTGGCTGCATGTAAAGAGAAATTTTTTACTTGAAAAAGGGAAGTGTTCTTATGAATCAGTGGTAGAAATGCCAGACCTGGTTCTGGTCCTACTTCTGACATATTTTTACACATTTGTTTTAGTCTGTATTTTAGTCAACTACAGCTAAATGGGAAGTCAAGCTGTCTATTTATACAGAAGCCAGCCCACTTGAAATCTGTCATTTCAAATAATGGTATGTTATGTTAAACTATTTATTTATGAGGAAGTGGTTAGTAAAATACAGCTACTGGAATATTTATCATTTTCAATTTTCTTTCTGTTTCATCATCTTTATGACACAGTACTTCAGAAACAATTAAAGGTAGTAACATGATGGCAGCTATGTATTGTAGACGCTGCACACAGTTTCACACCAAAAAAGACTCCAGGCTGGGGAAGCAGAGGGTGTGGATGCCTGTGAGTCCAGCAGAGCAACTCAGTTCAAAGGGCTGCAGTCCCTGAGGCAGGATCTGACCCCTGGCTCTCTAATACCCTGCACAGGGACACTGGGCTTCTTCAAACAGGTATTCAGTATTAATGCAGAAAAGGCAATAACTGATACTGGCCCATCAAGGTTCACCTGACTTTAAACCCTGCAATGTTGTGCTCAGTCAGACATCTTGTGCCACTTGTATTTCCTAGGCCAGGCCCTTCTCCTGTGCAAGGAAATGGCACTAAAGTAGGGGAGGGAGGAATTCATTATCATCTCCTATAGCTGTGCATCCTTGCAAGAGCTCCCCAAGAGAGATAAACCTAAAGATGTCAGGAAGCAGCATGGAATGAAGGCTGCTCTGAGGGAGTCCAAGGCACAAGTGGGAGAGCTCTGGCCATCCACTTAACCATCAGTTAGCCAGTATCATGCAAGGGAACTGCAGTGATTGCAGAGGGCTTTCTTCCAAAACCAAGGCTGCAGACAGGTGGTGGGAATTTGACTTCAGCTCTTCAGTGCCCCAGCCTAATGTCTGCAATGGGCCAGATTTTATATCCCTTGTACCCCTAAAATCATGTGAAACCACATTATGCTGCTCAGCTGCACGAGAGTAAAATTGTCCCAAGTTCTGAGTCAGCAGCCCCTGTCAGCCTCACTGTTAGGAACTTTAGCAGCTCACAGAATGCAGTCTCAGGATTTGTGTCATTTGTTTAGGATGAAGTCTGAGAAAGTAGTTTAAGCTGTTCAGCTGCATCGAATGCAAATGTCTTGTTTGTATAAGTACAACTTCCTAATAAACTATTATCAACATAACATTATTTGGGAAAAACATCTGCGTCCGTGCTAAATAAGCAACATGCTTGGTATGAAGAATTTCAGTTTTAAGTATTTCCATCTGATAAACATTGCTTTACTTGGGTAGTTTCACCTATTAGTGCTGCTTTTGTTGTCATGTGTCTTTTTTAGTTTCCTTAAAATTAAACCAAATTTGTGTATATATTTAATACCTTTTCAGCTTTCCTTACCTCAGGTTCTAGTAGGTCTGTAGCTGTTACTGAAAAAAAACCCTGGATTTGTATATTCAATGAATGGATAGTAATTGGGATTCTGACAGTAACCACAGTAACACAAGTGGTCACGACCACAAGTTCTGCTTTCTGTGCTTTCTTGTGTGCTGCTTTTAAGGGGAAATTTGGCATATAGTATTATATTTGGGGAAATATAAACAGACATCCTTTCAAGCTTCCACTACCACATTTCTCCTGGTTGTTCTTTAATTGGGCAAATATTACTGATTCCAAAGTTCAGTTCTTAAGCTTTGCTTTGTTATATTTTTTTTAAAGTTGCACTTTTGTGCTAATGTGAGGCTGTTCAGAGTAACCTTGAGGGCTCAGGCTGTGGCTGTAATGAAAAGACAGATCCAGCACAAGTCACTGCTGTACACACAGACACCAGTGCAGGACAGGGCAGTGGCTGATCCCCCACAGCTGCGCTGAGGTCAAACCTGGTTACAACACAGCTGGTTTGACTCAGGGGCTGGAAGAACATCACTGCAGGTGGCCACTGGGCAAGTACTGCTGCAGGATGGAAGAACATCCTCCTTTCTCTTCATTAAGAGAGAGGCTCAAATGTTATTCAAGGCTTCCTTAAATCTGTTAGTTCAAAAGCATTTTATACTTTCAACTTGAAATGGTTAATTATGGTTATTTGATGTTTACAACCTATCTACCTGAACAATTCTTTCCTGTTCTGTTACTTTAGCAAACTTAAGGCATTTGCTCTGCTACTGGAGAATACATATTTTTTTCACATCCCAGAGTCAACCTTATTGTCTTCTATCATTGTTCTTTACATGTGGCTAAACATTTCTGTTCTCTTTGCCTAGTTAAGATCCAAGTCTGAAAAGGTGTCTGTAAAAACTGCTTTTTTCTTTCTGTGCCTGGGTTACATGATGTTTACCTTTTGCCTCTTGTGGAAGCATTAAACATTACACTAATGAATGAATTGTAAAAGAGTATGGTTATGGATTTTGTTTGTTTATCTCTCAAAAAAAATGTAGCTCCTCCCAATCTCCACATTAAAGGAGAACTAAAACCATGTGCAACTAAACTGACTAAACCTAAATAAAGCATGAAAACTGAAAAAACCCAGTGGAGACAGAGAAGACAGAGAGCATTATTTAGGAGAAGGGGATAAAGGCTTATCTGGCTTAAAACAAGTCAGTGTTAATGAAAACCAACCATTCAGACCTGGCATAAAGTTGTAAAAATGAAATTGCGTTGCTGCCCCCACCATCTCTTGGTGCCCACCCTGCTTCTCTGCTCATCCAAGCTGGGCACCAGGGCGAGGCATGCAGCAGCTCCTGCTGATCCTGCACCCACATGAGGACACTGAGCTGAGAGTCAAGGCACCCAGCCTGGGAGCAGGAAAGCAGCCCTGACCCTGAGGGCAGAGCAGTTCAAGGTGTGATTTCATGAGTACACACAACAGATTCATCTGACAAAACCCAACTAAGAAGCCAACAAGTGACAGATTTAAATAAATAGTATCAACACAAATATTCTGCTACAGTCACCATGACTTTTGGGGAAAAGCATAATACAAACCACTTCAGTGTTTGAAGTGTTAAGTGTTAAGATTTTTAGATGAAGACTAGAACATCATAGAACATCATCCCTTTCAGTACACAAACTTTATTTCTGTACACGAGCAGCACAGGTGAAGCACAGTTCATCTGTAACTGAGAAATGTGTATTTCTCCCCCACACCTCTCAAAGCACTAAACACCACTGTTAAACAGCACAGTCTGTATAACAGTGAGACACCAACACCACTACGTCTTTCACTATGACTGACAGGTCTCACGTAAAAAGTAAGTTTTTGAAGGTCTGTTAAAATGGGTCAGATACACATCAGCATGGAAGCACAGATTGTTATATCAAACTCCTACCTTCTGACACTTACAAATTTCAGAGGTGCAGGTTTCCAAATACTTTAGGTTTCCTTTGTAAAACCACATAGCATTTTTAAATAGCACTTTGAACTAAAGAAGACTGCTCATTTAATCACCTATTACATTGTATTCTTCATTCCAGCAGACACACAGTGCGAAGTTCTATCCAAGTTCACAAAACTGATAATTCCTACTAATATTAAACCTACAAATCCCATGCCCAGTGTTTACTATTTGGATTTTGATGGCTTAGTGAGGTTAAGTAAAGATCTGCTGATGAACATCTTGGCAGCTCAGACACAAAAGCAGAATGTGCTATCCCATCCCTCACGGATGTAACATTGGCTGGCTCAGAGCGAAACGTTACCTGGTGATCACACACTGTGGTCACTGGAAGGCACACAGCCCCATTCAGCCTAATTCCAGTGACACATCCCAGCAGGAAAAGTTTTCAGTCCTTAAAGAATAGCGCTGTATTATAAATTCCCTGCCTTGGAGTCAAGCATTGGAAGAAGTGACAGGTAACAGATATTCAGTTTTGAAATGGGTGATGTTTAAGACACACTCATAAAGCAAAATTCTGTTCACCCACTTAAAACAGGTGAGGATAAAACCTCTGGCAAGTTATCTTCAGGAATGATTCAACAGCAGAAGCCCAAAGAAAATACTTAATTACTGTCATATTACTTCCATTACAAAGTGTGTGTGAATACAAAATTAAAGCATGATGTATATGCAGTGTAAGGACTAAGGGTAGCCAGGTTAACATACAGCTCCTAGTTCTATCAGACATCCTTAGGGCTCACTGAGGGGGCTGTTTTTCCAGGATCTAGCTGGATGCAAAACACAACCATGGCTAGTATGTTCCTTCCAAAAATAATGCATTTGGCACATACAGCTCTACAGGGTTGGGATTGAACAGCTCCATTCAAACCTGTAACACAGATCTCAGTGGTTGCCCTGGCTTCCAGAAGTGGAAAGAGTATGGAGTAGAAAACCTTTCTAATTATGTACAGAATTTTCTTTAAAGGAAAGATAAAGAAGGTAAATATACCATTTCCCATGAAAAAAAAAGAATCATGCCCATCATATTGATATGATGCCTAAACTTGAAACCTAGTAAATAAAAAGGTTTGCTAATTGCTCTGGTACACCTACCTCCTGCTGTGCCTGTCAACTGGTCATTTTATTCATTCTAATTTCCTGATCTGTTAATGAATTCCACTCCCATTTCTGCTTTGGCTTCGAAAGATCCAAACAGATAAGCCAAGTAACTAGACAGAGGAAAGAGTTACATTAATTACATATTTCAATTCTTACTTAAAAGGAGGAAAAATTAAGAAAAAAATATTCCAAACCTTAGCATTCTTAAACTTTAAAATACCATCAGCAACATGATGAAATAACTTGGAGGAAAAAGTGTATCGCACATCTCTGAAAATAAAAATCCTTTCCCCAAACAAACATGCTCCTCAATATTGTCCCCTAAGAATTAGAGTTGTTTAATATTTCCCATCACTTCAGAATATTCTAATTTATTTGTGTACCTAGAAGAGGTCAAATCAGAGCCAGTTTTGTTTTTTTTTTGCAGAGCTGCATTGAGGTACCTTGTTGATACAACCCTTCAAAGTTTAAGAGAGCTTTGACTCAAAAGTGCCACACTTTTAACCACACCACCTGTACAAAGCAATTGTATTTGCATCAAATCTCAGTTTTCAGATTTCCATAATACTAAAGCCAAATGATTCCTTAAGCTTAAACTCTAACATTTCTTCCAAAGTAACTTTATTGCACAATTCATACAGAAAGTTTAATATAGTGGAATGTTCTTAGTTATTAATACCATCTCTAATGTTTAAGTTACAATTTCACATTAAACCTGTAAGAAATATTCACTTAACACACAAAAAAGTTAATTTACTCTAATGCCCTCCACCAACAGCTATTTGCAGTAATTCACATTTTCAAGTTCTAGCTTCTGGAACTCATTGCCATGTTCATGCCAATGGATTCCTTTTCCAAAATTATTCGCTAAATGTTGTACTTCAGTCTAAGTAATACCAACCAGTACCAAATTACTAGTTTTTCAGTGTTAAAGTATCTATTTCTCCATATAACATACAGTACATATATTTTACAAGGCACACATTACAGTATCTACATCACAGCAGTGTGAATTACAGCAACTTAATTTAAAAAAGCTGTACAGAATACAAAGTTTACTTTTTCATCTATTTAAATAATTTTTGCATTAGTTTATATTGTAATTGTCATTATGCTGCAATTAACAACCTGTTTGCATCAATATAAAATTACATTTTAAGAAGTTCATGTAAGTTCTCAGCAGAAAGTCAACTTATAAAATCTCAGTTCAGAAGTATAATTCTTGAAGTACTTGAAAAATAAAGTTAGCTTGAGGCTTTCATTTAGACGCTCTTTCTGTTCCAGTGATATAAAAACTTCAAAAAAGTCGAAGATTATCTGAAAGTTCTGAACATGGACTAATGCAAGCTCAAAAAGCAAAAAGAAACCAAACTAGTGCACGATTAGGAATATTTGCACATGTTTTAGTGGGAAATCCTGGGCCAGTAATGCTTTCCAGCCCAAACAACCACCCTTATGCAACCAAACACTTCATAGATTTACTGAAGAATATTTCATTGCTATCAATGGCTTAGGAAAGGGAAAAAAAAAAAAAAGAGTTCTCAGCTATATACAGTCCTAAAAGGATTTTTCCATTGCTAAATACAGATTTACAGACTAAACCATACTGGCTCTCAGATGACAGACACATGAATGGAGACACATGAAGGCTATGTTGCTTCTCTGTTTTAAAACCTATGATTAATTTGACAATGGTGTCACAAGCCAAGCTCAAACACGTGCCATACTCTGTGCACATTCTTTAACAAATTGATGTAATTAAGCTATTTTGTAGCCAATTAAGAAAAATAACCTAAATGTGCATATCTACATGTCACAGAACTTGTGACAAAAGGACCTAAGCCTTATGGCATAATGGAATTTTAACAGGTATGGTAAGGAAAAATGCAGTCTTCACAGTAAGCAGGATTTATGCTGTTATTCCCTCAAATGCTACACTTGAATATTTTAACTTGAGGTTACTGAGTGAGAAAAAGTAGTATTTGTTAATTGATATATATATAAAATTCTCTACAGTAGCCATTCATTTTCATAACACTATTTATGCACAGAAGGCTTAAGATGGGTTTCCTGAATACTAACAATTTTAGACTGTCTAAACTCAGCTCTTAAAGACTTTATTCTGCTAGACACAAAATACTGTTGCACTCCAGTTGAGATATCCCTTTTCCAAGCTGTCATATGTGCATCTCAGTCTAAGCCACATTATTGTTAAAGAAGTTTCCCTCTGCTACATAAAAGCATATTGCACTTGTAGATATAAAGTAGAGCACCCTTACTTAGGTTATCACTTGTAACTCTTCATATACCTTTTAACTCTGATCTCATCACTTCAATAACTCAAGAGGAGCAGATAAAACCACAGCATCAGCCTAAACTACACCTTAAGTGCTAATTCAAATAAAGGCATTCAGATATACCCAATGTTTAAAAATAATTCTAGCTGTTCTTTATCAAAAGCTAGTGAAAAGCTGATTTACTGCTTTTAGCATTGTGTATGAAACTGTTTAATGTTTCCAAGCTGATAAGACTATGCTAAATATCATATTTAAAAAAAAATATTTTAAGATATAAGTTTTGTTAGAAGAATAACGGGAAGTGCACAAGTACATTTACAGACCTGCCTACACTCTCAGAAACAGACTTAAAATAATTTATACTAAAAGTCTTAACAGATCAGATTAAGTATCTGTAAACACTAAAAGCAGCAGTAACTTCCTACTGAAGAACAGGCAGTGGGACATCTTCAAGTTTCAACAGTAAAATTTCAAATTAATAACCACTAGTGTTAACTTTATCTTTATTCACGTTAGTTGTGAATAAGAGACTGCTTTTAAGGGTAGGAACTGTGAGGTCAAGCCACCTACCATGGTTCATCTCTGTAGCAGTACACTGTGATGCTCAAACAGCAGTTTGCAGTTGTAGTTGTGCTGTTACAAGTTGCTCCATCGAGTAGTCAAACTGTTAATTAATATCAAATGCTGTTGTTAAACTCTGTTAATGATCAAAGAGTTTGCTGGAAGAACAGTTTAATAACGAAGACTGCACACACAGAGACTTGCTCAGATACCCTGTGCTTTAGGAGAGCAGAGCAGACTCACAGCAGCCAAGAGGAGAAGGAAAGGACAGACTGGAAGAACGGCAAGGAGGGATAAAACCAGATGCTGGGGAAAACAAAAGCTTCAAGTGGTTCTGCCCTGATCAGCCTGGTGGGCAGGGTCAAGGTCTGTGGGGCTGCCCCGCCTCATCCACCATGTTAAGGATGTAAGTGGCAATGTCATCTTCTGTAGGGGCCTCTGACACCACCCAGGAATCTCCTGCCCCAGTCACCTGCCGGCGGCACACAGGACAGTTTCTGTGGCGGTCACTCCTGTTAGGAAGGCACAGAAATGAGTGGTTTTCACTGATGGTCTTTTGCTGACCAGAAAATCCAGAAGAGCCCCCAAAAGTACAAACCAAACCCGAACAGAAACCAACCAAGTGAGAACTTGAAGAATGATCACATTAACTGAATTAGGCCACCTATCTATTTTGTTTGTTTAAAAACTTCTTTCTTTGTGAGAAAGACTTCTGAATGGAGGTCCATTCTTGGAGTGAAAATTTGGAATCATGAAAATCTGGAATTCCTAAATTCCTAATTCTTTGTTTAGGTCTGACAGGATATATCTGGCTACCTGGCCAGAAAGTTTAAATGGAAATTCACTGTCTAAATTAATTGTCCTATATTCAGGAATTCAGCTGAGGTCCTTAGAAACCAATCTCCACAGGCTTCCTAGATAGAAGAAGGAGCCCTTTCCTGGGTTATGCAGCCCACAAAAGTTTAGAACCGGTCCCTTGGAGTCCCAACCCCCTCCACCATCTCGGGGGTCCCCAATACTTATGTTTGAGCTGGGAGCCTCCATTATTATGCCTAAATTAAGAGATCAACCTTAAAAACTACAGACCAAAAAAAAGCATGGTGCAACTGGAACTTAGTGAGGAGTTCAGCTGATTCATCAGCCAAAGCAGCATATAATCCACTCTCCAACAGTCACTAAACTAAGCCCTGTCCTGCTGATAGATGTCAGGATATTTTCCCAGAAGAGAGAAATTACTTGCTGTATTCTGAGATCCAGGGATTTTTTACTATGTTTTTTCCTTGTGGAAGCCTGGTGTTTGTTACAAGTGTAACTTCTTTACTAAGTCTTTCAAAAAGCCACCACCAAAAAAAAAATCTTATGCACAAATTATGCATAAACCCATTTGCATTAACTAGCCAAAAAAATTACTTTTTTAACAGAGCAAGTCTGTGTCCCCCAGTGCCAGACTGCCAGGACACTTCACTAATACTTGAAAGCCTGCATGGTCAGGCAAGAGCTGTGTTCCTTCACAAATGAATTCTTCTCTCTCACTTTTCCAAGAACTGGTGTATCAGAGATGCATAAGCTGAAAAGGTGTTCAATTTACTGTGAAGCTGAACATTGTAAGCTACACATTATATATGTAAACTTGAAGGTACTGCCATAGAGTCTGATTTAAGACTGATATATTTAAATCAGTAAACTGTATGCTATTTCTTTGAAGAAAGCATAACATATGAAAAAAAATCTCTCTGATAGTTATTTCCCAAGTGACAGACAGTCCAACTTGCCTTCATATTTGCACAGCCTTAACAAGCTTTAAATGAGATTTTAACATGAAGCATAACATGCCAGCATCTGCATATACCAGCTTCTGAAGTTTCTAAGCAAGACTGTAACAATTCGATTTTAGAAGAATAAAAAGATGTAAGAAATTGCAAAATAAATCCTGAACAGCATTTTCACTCTTTTTTACAAAATTTCCTGCCTTCCTTCTGCTTCAGTCTGCTTTTACTCAATTTTAAATTATTTGGCAACCATAGAATCTGTCAAATCAAGCTGAAACATGCATACTATAAAATAATTAATATCCTATCATTTATATTACCATTTATCAATGCATTTCTGGCAGAAACTGTGAGCACACGGCAGGATTAAATCAGCACGCCCATCCATGCAGATGCAACATTCCTCTTCATCTGTCAGCTGTTTAACCCTGCAGAAGAGAAGACATTGTTTTGTTCCAGATGTTTGATATTTATGCCCCAGTTATTACATTTTTCATAACAATTAGTGATGGCCAGAAAGAAACACCTGTGCTTTTAATCCATGAATGGACTAGTTATGTCATCCCAGCCTATGTCAGCAGTGAACTAAACTAAGCCAGAATGTGCATTTATTTTTTGTGTCAGGTTTTTGTGTTAGTATTTGTATCAGGTGCTTTTGGTGTTGCCAAGGATTCTGTAAATCCCTTTTCATATCAACAAGGAAGTGTGGGGAGTTGTAACTGCTTCATATCACATAACTGGGCACAAGAACAGAAACACTGTTTACATTAAAGGCAGGAGAAGAACCTGCCTTCCTGTCACTGCACCTTAGGCTGAACTAATTCATAATGAACTTTGCCACATTTCTGTGTGCTGGTTTATATCCTAGAGAAAAACATGCATGGCAAGAAGATCACTACCAGAATGCAGGTTCACTCATCTCACATGGCATCAGAATGCCAAGAGCTGAAGTACTCATTAGATTGAAAAGGCTGATTTAATGCTACATATAATTGCTCCTCAAATTAGGACTCTCAAGATGACTGTTACCACAGCTTTTCCAGTTAAAATCCCAGGTGTTTCTGTTGGGAGGGAAGTTTAAAAATTATCTCACTACCCAAGACAGATATTGACATTTTATATATTTCCCCCAAGTATTAAATATCTTTATCTAATGTTCTTATCAGGAGTATCTCAAATACTGGCACCATCAAGACTTCTCAAGTGCAAAAAGGTGCAGACTCCTCAGCTTTCACTGGCCTAAAGAGATACGTAGAATTTGCAATTTTATAGTCATAGTTCACTTCCAAAACAACCAAGGAAGTGTTCTAAAATTAATGGGTTTTCCAAAAACCCTTATTAATGAATCCCTGTTCTGACCTGGGGGACAGAGATAGTCTTGAAAAAAAAAGGCATTTCAGAAGTTAGCCCACCTTAATGACTACTGACCAGACTATTTTGCTTAGGTATCTAAGGGAGCTTGTCAAATACAGATTCATTTTTGATCTGCACAGAATAGCCAGTCAAATACAGATTCATTTTTGATCTGCACAGAATAGCCAGTTACTGAACAGCACTCAACATGCCTTTGTTTTATCTTTCCTTGTGGTCCTTGGGGTTTCCTTTGTAATTTGCTTTTGGAGAAATTACTTTGAAATGACATTTTTTTTTTACAGATGGTAGTTTGCATACAATGAGGACAACAATTTCCAAGAAGCCTGCTGTGTTCTTTAGACCTGTTCCCTTCTCATTTTCCTCCCCCATGCTATTCTGAGTACTAACCTTTAAGAGCACTTGAATCTTTCAGATTTACTGGTGTCTATACAAGCAATTACACAAGGCCTATTTATAAAGCTTCTGCAAAGTCAGCTTTAGTCACAGTGCTAAGTTCCCAAAGAAACAGTAAAATAAAGGAGTGACAGACAAAGGAAATGCTTATCTCTTTTTTATCAGTAAGCATAAACCACTTAGGCATATTTTGAATGCTCTGAATAGGAAGTGGATGTTGTAGAGATATGGGGTATTATTCTAGGAGAAAAAGTTAAGAAGAATTGAAGAGATAACACTTGCTATTTTTAGATGGTGAGGGCTAACTTTACAGAGCTGAAAAATCTCTGAAGGTGAGAAGAACTGAAATGGGTGGTTATCACAGAAAAATATATAGAAGATTTAATTGGTGTAGAATACTGAAGATGGTTCAGCTTATATTTTCCTTAGTAACTTGAAAAACTTGGCTAAGACACAAGCTCACCAAACTGCATCATATTAGCAAAGTATAATCTGCTTTTATTTGTGACTGATAAGGTCTCAAGTGGTGAAGTTTACAAACAAGAAGGATGCCCATCTCCCCTATCTCCAAGTCTGAAAAACTGAAAAAGAAACTCACATAGGAAATCTGTTATTTTCCTCATTGACTTTAGCAATATATAAAGTTGTTTTGCCTAAGAATCTGGGGTCTATGTTGTTTGATTTGTCTATTTGAAGCAAAAGACCATTTCCAGAAAAATGCGTGTTCTGGGACAACCTTGAGAAAGCAATTTTCCTGTTCTTTCTCAGATATGTTCACAATTTACAGGAAATAAAATGAAATTAAAATAAGACCTTCTTCAATCCACTAACTTAGAAATGTCAGAGAGCTCTGTGAAGTGACAACACAGGTGACCCCTTTTTCATTTCAACAGCTGACGTGTAACACTCAGGCTGTTTCATTAGAACACCTGGCTGCCAGCTCTTCACTGGTGAACACAGAGAACTCTACCATTTACCACCTTTTCTTGGAAAACCTAGCTCTACCTCACTTTAACTGAGTTAGAACCATTAACTTATTCAGGAAAAGTAAGGAATTACTGGTAGTAGCAACACTTCCACAACAGGGAAAGGGTGATAGACTTCTTGCTTTTACATTCAGTTTGAACTGAAGTTATTGCAGGTGTTGACCTTAGTCTTTTGTTTTTCCTCTGGTTAACAAAGCAGAAGGTCAACATGAGTGAGACAATTCACATTTTTCCAGCCTTGCAAGTTAAAATTATTACCATAATGGATGGGCTTCTAGTGGCAACAGATGGGAACTTTCACATGCCAAAATGTAAGAGGAAGAGAAAGTTTAACTGAAACAATAACAGAATCTGTTTAAACAAACACTGTCAAACCCCCTGGATTTGTAGCTGCAGCTGATTCAGTTTCCTCCTGTTTCCTTATTCAGGAGATTCAAGATATACTATGTTTCTATTAGAACTGATCTCTAAAAGGGCTGTTCTGAAGCTAAGGTATGGTAGCATCATATTTCAGGATTTCACCCAAGTGCACTGCAGCTCCCTTGGTGCAAGGGAAGGTGTCTGTCCATGTTTGTGATGGCACAAAGCCTGCAGCTATCAAGAACGAGCAGTTCTCATCAGCAGGTATTTGTAGTTCAGTTTTGAAGTACACTTCCCAAAACGCTTATGTTGTAACTGGGTCAGAAGCTAAAGTGTATCAAAATACCTTCCCATCCACAAGCTGGCCTGACACGAAGACAGAGATCTCCAACTCTCAGCAGCTTCTTCAGAAGTATCACTCTGTGCAAGAACTCCTGCTGCTTGACTGGTGATGTCTTTATAAAGTTGAGTGAACTGATATAAGTTCAAGATTCTGGAAGCTTCCACGATGCCACTTGTTTTATTTATCTTAAGATATGAGAATTGTTTACAATTACTTATCAGGTTTTAACTTGGCATTGCTCAGAATGTTTGTAAAGCACTGCAGTTCTCATGTAAGGCAGTAGTCTCCTTCCTGTGTGTCCTTTATCACATTAACAAGCTGCAGTCTGCCTCAGCAAGAGTCAGGCCTGCCTACAGCTGTTGCAGCTGAGGAACACCACAGGCAGCACCAGGATTTCAGGGCAAGGCAATTGCCATCACTACTCAAATGGATTCAGGTGTGAATAGGGACTGACTGCCCAAAGACATGGGCTGAACTTAGAACTAAGGACAGGATCATCAGTCATTTGATATTTGAGTTTAAAATTGCCTATAGTGATGGCTGCCTTAATGAAAACTAGGAGTAAACAGAAAAGTACTAACTGTTGGTTTCAAACAGAGTTTGAGGGTTGGCTTATTTAACCACGTTAAGATTGCTATGGGGATTCAGGATCATTAAAGGACTTTAATGATAGGATAAAGAGGGGAAAATCTCCTCTTTAGACAGAACAAATTTTGTAAATTTTTGTCATAAATTAAAACATTTAACCTTTAGATTAGTTTTCTAAGGGATCAGACTATGTACAGGCACAGTAGCTCAACTAATAATGCCTGGAAGACCTGATTAATTTCTACTACTGACCTCAAAATCTATAGTTGGCAGTTTGTTGTACCATTTGATTACTTAACCTCACAAATCACCTGCATTTGTAACTAAAGGGCTGTAAGTGCTCCACTGGAAGGCATTACTCCTTTAAAAGTTATAAAACTGTTTTTGTTGCCATGTTTTTTGCAGAAACTTAGAATTTAGACTTAATTTATCTCCAGCAGCATCTTTGAATACATCATCTGTATCAAAACACATGTAGCAGGTGTTGGATTTTACAAGTAAAACTGACAGTCCTCAAATCTGTGCATACAAACTGCCCTTCAAATTAAAATGTTCACACTTACTTTGGTACATATTATCCTAACGATCACCTTCCAGAAAGCAGAAGAATCAGACCCAGGCTGCACTTCAAACAGCAGATGTTTGTCTTGTCCAGAAGCCAATTTTGCAGTACTGAAACAAAGCAACATCAGTTCAATGCCATGTGCTGGACCTGCAAAGATCAGCAGCCTCAGCCAAGTGCAATTATTTATGGTTCACCTGTCTGCTCTCCATCCTTAAAAGAGATTTTAGCAATACTGCCCAGGGGCATCAAATTACAGAGTATGACTTTCTCAGCATGTCATTGAATACAAAATCCATTTCATTTTATATTGCACAGCAAACTTCAGACAATGTTGTGCAAGTCTTTTGATCCAGCATCAACAAGCAGGTGTACTTTACAGACATTTAAATTCACATATACTCTCACTGTTTATTATACTAATCACACAATATTGTCTCCAATCTGAAAAGGTTATTTCCTCAACAGGTATGTAAAAAAAAAGTCTGTGACTACCAGTGTATGCAGATGAGGTGTATTTTTGTTAGTATATATTAATAATGAGGTAGTCAGGTGAACATGTCAGGTGACCTAAAATTTGTTTCTTTAGTGGAACACAGACACAACAGTCTATTCCACAAGAATCAGAACATATTCAGGCTTAAGTAAACACTGGAAAGAAAAAAACCACTCGAGAAACAGTATTGAGAAACAGTGAATTATACTAATATATGCCTGGAGTCTCAGGCAAAACATCAGGTTATGTTCTCCAAAATCTATTTATGTGTCTACCCAGAAGACAGCTATGTGTTTTTCAAGGTCATTCACAAAATATGACCCTCTCAGAGATAATTTCTAAACTAAATACAAATTCACATTTTAGTTAAACAGCAAACATTACAAAGCCCTTATTCTGTGTGTGTGTGCTTCCACTTCATTTTATCACTCTCACTGTGTGCCATAAATACAGGCTAAAACCGACAACACTGCTTTTTTGCTCATTTCATTTTACTGTCATTGTACTGGTCTAGCAAAAGGCAGGCTATGAAAAATCTGACAAAAAAGCAGCCTTTTGTTCGGGATTATCTAGGTCACTGGTTTGGGACAGTAAGCTACATCTCGTCCTTAATGAGGAGCAGCCTGGAATGTCTGCAGAGGTGGCAGGGACGGTCACAAACAGTTCTGTTTCAGGTGCCACCCTCCTCACATAGATCTGCTGGCCCTACCAGGCTCCTATTGCTCCTTCCTACCCAAACTGACAAGCAGAGAAGAAGCAGCATTGCATCTTCAGGTGGAAGGGAGAACAATAAGGGACACAGGTGACACTAATAAAAAGATTACTCCAAATTACTTCTTGTGAACTTTTAAGAGAGAGCAGCACTTGCTGGAAGAAGAGTACTGGAGAGAAGTGAATTTCAGGAGGAGAAAGGCCTGATTTTGAAGTGTAATTACAACTATTATTAAGACATAAAGAAATGAAGGATACATTTCAAAACCATCAGGCCAGTTCTGGCTTAGCCAGCACACAATAATATATTGTATAAAAGGTCTCTGTAAAACACACAACCAAAAAAAAAAAAAAGAAACCAAAGTAAGGCTTACATATCATTGAGTTCAGCTACTCTTCCCAGAAACTCTTCATAGGTTAGGAAACCACTTTCTTGAACCAAAGAGGCATGCTTTGCTACTTTTTCTGGCAACTTGTTAATTACAGTTTGTGTGTGGTTTGAAATCTGTTGACCCATGGTGAAGCTCTTCACCTCAGTTGTGCAGAGAGAAGTTCTCATTCACTTGTAGAGTCTCTGCCAAAAATATTTGAGAGTTACATTTGTGTGTCTGTGAATGGCTACTCCCTCACTTTCTTATAGCCTATAGTAATTGTTCTACAAGTAACACAATCTGAATAGTTAGATCAGAAATAATGCAGAACACTTCAAAGATCTGGAATGGGGCATTATAATCTTTCTATTTTGTTTACAGCAATACTTATATTAAATTGAGATAACTTTCCCCACAGATTCAGCTTCAACACCGACATATATAAATACATCCAATGGAATGGAAAAAGAAATCTTAAGATGACAATGGTAATTTATGACAATCTTTGTTTATTCTAAATATTTGTGTGTGTGAATATCAGAATGTCTGCACATAAGCACATCAGTGTCTGTTTATACACAGACATCGCATCAGGAATTACCTTTCTTACATCAAACTTACATTGGTAGATTAAAAGAACTCCCACAGCATTCTGAAACTGGTAATCCAAGGAATCCATGTCAGTATAAACCAATTTAGAGACCTCCCTATCCACACAGAACACTCAGCTTCAGGCCGTATTACAGAACTGACTTGCTCAAATGTCTCCAACTCCAATTTACTTCATCTTTCCTTCACACCCAAATCTTTTCCCCCAAAAGTCTGCCGAAGGATTAATGCCACACCCTCCGAGTATTTATCTACTTACTCCCCACGGTCCCCCTGCATTTGACTTCCCCCAAAATGCCTCTTTGCTGAGTTCACTGTTTGTCAAGCAAACCAGTTGTGTCAGGCCCTTCTGAGACTTGTACAGAGAGAGGTGTGGGAGGGCTAGGGAACTACAGAACATCCACCTAAACTCACACATGGAGCCATTTGACAGGAATTGCGTTACAAACTCCTGATGGGAGGCATCACAGAGAAAGCAGCATTTTGCCCTGTAGGTAGCGGTAGCAGCACTTGGGCTTAACCCCGCCCAGAACAAAATTTACAGCTGCTGAGATCTCACCACGGTGCGAGGAAAACACAGCACACCAAGCCACCTCCTGTCAGAGCATACTGAAGTACTATGCAATTTCACCACAGTAAGCTTCCAATTTATGGCCGGAATTGTGACCAGTTTCTCCTCCCACACAGATACGCTCCCCCTCCGGCCACTTTTCTCCTTTCCCGATAAGGCTCCTCCTGCCCCGCTCTCCAGGAGTGCCTGGTGAGCACACGCCCAGCCCACACAGCAACAGCAGAACCTGTCACCTTCTAGACACTCCTCCCGGATCTCCCGGGCTTGTGCTCCCCCGAGCTTCTCCGGGAGCACCGTGCCTCCTGCGGGCCTGCGAGCTCAGCACCCGAATCCCAGCACTGAAAAGTTTGGGGAGAAACACCTGCAAGGGTGTCTGGAAAACTGGATATCGGGAAATGTTGCACTCCGAGGGTGGTCGAGCACCGGAACAGTGTCTCCAGGGCAGTGGTCAGTGCACCAAGCCTGAGAGAGTTCAAGAAGCGTTTGGACAACACTCAGGCACATGGAGTGACTCTTGGGGTGCCCTGTGCAGGGCCAGGAACTGGACTGTGATCCCTGTAAGTCCCTTCCAACAAGGCACTCTATGAAATGATCCCTATTGTTCACCCTTCAAGACCCCACACACCCTGCGCCACCCTCAGACCCACGAGGCGGCCCGAGCGGCGCGGACGGCCCGGACACAGCCCCTCATGGCCCGGGCCCGCCCCGGGACGGGCCGCGCTCAGCCCGGCTGCGTCACGGCCGCCCCGCCCGCTCCCCCCACCCGGCCCTGCCCGCACCCGCCGGCTTCCCCCGGGCCGGGCCTGGCGCTCGGTGCCGAGGGGCGGCGGGGGGCGGGTCCCGCCCGCCCCGCTCACCGCATCCCGGCACGTCCCGCGGAGGAGCCGCCGCCGCCTCACGGGCCCCGCAGCGCCGCGGCCGCTCCCCCGCGCCGCGCAGGCGCGCGCTCGGCGGCGGCGCGCGGGGGTGACGCAAGCGCGCGGCCGGCGGCGTTGCCGGGACACGGCGGACGCGCGGCGGGAGCGCGGCCCGGGCGGCCCCTGCGCCGCTCTCCGCCGCTCTCCGCCCGGCGTCCTTCCCTCCCTCACGGCCCCGCCTGTGAGGCCGCTGCACGCAGGGCAGCCGGCGGTGGCGTTGCCCCGCCGGGACACCACAGAGTCACAGGATCGGTTGGGTTGGAAACGAACTCAGGTATCATCGAGTCCAACCTGTGACCGAACACCACCCTATCAATTAGACCATGGCACTGAGTGACACATCCAGTCATTCCTTAAACACCTGCAGGGACGGTGACTCCACCGTCTCCCTGGGCAGCCCATTTGGATGTTTGATCAACCTTTCTATGAAGAAATTCCTGCTGCCGTCGAACCTGAACCCCCCCCGGCACAGCCTGTGTCCTCTCATCCTGTCGCTGCTTTCCTAGAAGAAACCGGCCCCCTCCTGGTCACAGCTTCCTTTCAGGCAGTTCTAGAGCTTGATAAGGTCATCCCTGAGCCTCCTTTTCCCCAGGCTAAACACCCCCAACTCCCTCATCATGATAATTTTGCTCCCGAGCCTTCCCCAGCTCACTGCTCTTCTCTGGGCTCACTCCAGCCCCTCAATGTCCTTCCTAAGGGGCTCAGAACAGGTCACAGCAGTCGAAGTGTGGCCTCACCAGTGCTCAGTAAAGAGGGACAATCCCTGCCCTGCTCCTGCTGGCCACACTATTATCCATTCTGACACACAGCAGAAGTGCTGTATAGAGCTGGCTTGTTTAAGAAACACTCTGTAATAACTGGGCTGACAAAAATGGGATCACTTTTCACCTTGCTGAACCCTCAGCAGATGCCCACTCAGTGCTGCAATGCCCAGGATTCACAGTGCCTTCACTTGTTACTATGAGCTCTCTTAAACAGTGATTTAAATGATGCTGAGTGCCTGGCTCAGTGGGATCATCCCAGGCCACAGCTGCTGGTGCAAATACCGGTCTGCAGGGAGGATATGGGTGGTGGATGTGAGTGGCAAAGGTCAATGCTCATTGACCTTTTCACACAAAAACCCAATACCCATAAACGACAACAAGCCATTGAGAAACAGACATCCTAGAACATCCTCTGGGTCATCCATATCCTGATGCTGCAATATTTAATTCTACTTTTTTTCTTTTCCCCTTAATTTTAAGAGGAGAAAAGGAGTAGTACTTCCCCTTCCTGCCTGTTTCTGTTCACACATGGACACACGTACTTCCCACACCAAAGGCATCCCTCTATGCCAGACAGGGATTGGGCTGGACTGGAAACCTTGCTGGATTTCCTGCAGGCCAAGCACCCCTTTTGCCTAAGGTCAGCAAACATCTGCAGCCTCAGTGTGGGAATCTGAGTGGTGTTAGCATCAAGTGACAAGTACAGACTGTGCTCCCCTGTTCAGTGGGATGAGTTATTTGTCCAAGGTACTTGAGCAGCTCTGGTACATCAAGAAGCTTCAGAGCTGTTGAGAAGGTCTCATTAAAAAAAAAAAGGCACAACACTTGAGAAAAATCAGAAACATAATGAAGAATTTCTCTTAAGTTTCTGCTACCTCTAGTTAAGGGTTTGGTGTTTGACGCTTTTTGTCTAGATACTTAAATGTTTCCTGTTTGCATTGTAGTAGTGCATCCCTTGCAATTCCATTAAACAATGAGCAGGAATGTTTTGTACTTTCCAATTCCAAGGTGACCAAGTTGTGCTAACTACATAGAGACAATATCAAATAGAGTCCTTGTTGATCAGTACTTAGAGCTGCCTTTATACCATACACAGCAGTGTAACAGCTCCTTTAGCCCTTGTGGTGTTGGCATGAATTGTGTAGTGAAATGGAGGGGCAGATCAAAACATGTGCATTGGTCAGGCAGCAGTGGGAGTGTCAGGATGAATGCTGAGTTTTTAAGGTACATGATAAAATAAGACACTTAGAGGTTAAGGCAATATCTTATTAAAACAGGATTTTTTTTTTTTTTTTTTTTTTTTTTTTTTTGTAAGTAAACACTTCAGGGGAAGAAAGCACCCTTATTTAGCTCTGAAACAGAAGCAACATTATAATTATCTCTTGGCTGTAGGGAATAGAGAAACAGGTTAATTTCTAATCTCTAAAACTTGGAAAAGAGAGGCAGAAGGGAGATTTAAAACATTTCCTAAACTACCTGGAATCCACTATGCTTGCCTGTGCCCTTAGATCTGTTTGCTGCTCTGGCACCTTCATGACTGGTGGCTGTGGCACTTCCTGGTGGCCTTTCTTGTGCTGTCTGCTCCTCACAGAGCACTTCCATTCAGGACACAAGGTATTAGTGTGATGTTTTGCAAGGAGAGGAATTACTTAACTGGCTGGGAAAGCTGTGTCTAGTGTTGTCCTCTGTTGCACATTTTTCTGCTAAAATTCTGCTGATGGACATCTGAAATGAGCAGTTCTTAGAGCTGTACTGAAACACTTGGAGCCATAAAACATTTCTGAACTAGCAAAAAAAAAAAAAACCAAAAAAACGAAGGCAAGAAGAGAAAACAAAAAACAACCCAGGGAATCTCTTAAGTATAATGCTAGAAATACACTATAAATCATTGCCAGTAGAATGTATAAACACTGGGCATTTTAAAATTTATGTGAATGAAAAATATCCAAGTTCATAATCCAGTATCCTACACTGTTGAAAACACAATATAGGTGACCAGTTCTATTGCTATTTAAAAAAATTATTATTATTATAATCTAAAACTATGTTTTTAAAGCTGATGGAGAAAAAAAAAAAATCTTTCTTTGGCATAACAACCTCCTTCAAATATAAAGGGAAATTATCAAAATTCTTTATTCAGGAAAATATTTGGTAAACTGCTAGTGTTGTTATAACAACTAAGTACTTCAGTAACATTATGATTATATTAATTATTTTTACCATGAGACAGTTTTCGTGAGAATAAATTGTCCAGACAAACAGATCCACCATAGTTTATTTTTTAGGGAGCACCATAGACATCCCATATCACCTGAGACCTTTATTATAAAAGCTACACTTAAATACACACAAAAGATCTCCATTATAAGTCTTGTTCAAGGATTTTTTTGTCCCCCTCTGTCAAATATCTCATGTGGAAGAATGATAATGGTTTCAATAAATAAAAGAGTAAATTATGATACAACAAAGGTATCTAAGTTATTCATTGCTGTGTATATCTATATACATACACATCAGCATCTTTTTACCCTTCTTTGGGCATTTGAATGACAGTGGCTTAATCCTTTGAGTTTTTACTCCCTTGTAAACAGAACTGTTTCTTCTGTTTGTAAACAGACATTTTTAAAGCAGCATGGAACTACTGAGTGGAAATAAGCTAATCTACATGAGAAAGAACTACAGTGTCAGCATTTTATTTTAGGCATTAGGCTAGCAGGCATCCTCCAGCCAGATAAAAAAACCTTTTTTTATATATTGATCTGAAGTCCATGCAAATAGCTAATGTAGTGCATGTTGTTAATAGCATATTTCTAATTGCTTCTTTATTAAAAATTAAAAATGAGCTGTAAAATGGATTTGTAGAATTTATTTCAAGTAAATAAGATGCCATGTTCTTCTGCAAGAATATTTGTTGCCAAAGATGTAATTATTGAAAAACCAAGGTTTCATATGTTAAAGAAAATATGAGTATTTACAATCACTTATGTTTAAAAGCACTACTAAGTTCTGTGTGCTTTATTTTATACTTCCATCAAGAACTGTACATTCTTCCCTTTAAACTTCTGCTTCTAGACATTTTACTGTGGCCTCAGGCTTAGTTTTACACTCTTCTACCTTATTTCCATTATTCTGCGTTTCCTTCTCAGGTGTTTGGTCATTTGATTTTGTCTCTTTCAGAGCAGTAGTTACAACTGTTTCTTTTTGCTGATTCTTGTTTAAAAATGGTAAGGTTTTCTTGTACCTTTTAAAAGAAAAAAAGATAGTAAAGTAGAAATACTGACATAGTTTGGTAGTACCACTTAAACAACTAGAATTAAATTACCATACTCAAGCAGAAGTCTCTCAGAGGATAGTGGCATGCTAGATCATTGTGCTTTTTCCAGCAGTGTGTTATCTAAAGAAATATTTTGGTATTTTTTTTAAAAATAGACAATGTATATTCAGGATTTGTGGTACACAATGATAAAGCTGTCTGGGCTGGGGTGTGAGAACTGCACACTTTTTAGTAGCATTTAATGTATTAATGTACTGCATTGAAGTCTAACTTTGACAAACGAGTTCAACAATTTTTTTTTTCTGAGCAAAATCATAGTGCAATAATAAAAACTTTCACCTTGAGTGTGACACAGAAGAAAAAAAAGGATAGAACTGCATAACAACAGGTGCACATTTCAGTGTTGCTATTTTGACACAATTGGAAATGTTTCACACTAGGCATGATTGACCAATTAAAAGTAGGCAATATCTTTTGTGTTCCTTTTCTAAAGCAGGGAGTGGCAACAGCAACAACAGTGCAACACTATCATGTCATCATCATTACTACTCTCCTCTTTAGTATATATTTTAAATATTCAGTGATTGCACTCTAGGAGTTAATCCACTCCAAGAGAGAGAGAGAGAGAGAGAGAGAGAGAGAGAGAAAAAAAGGCAACTTACTTTTTGATATAACAGACTGCTAGAACAACAGAAATAATGAAGAAGATGATTGCCAGTACAAGAAGTGTCGTGGGGATACCTAGAGATATAAGCACAGTGTTTTTATTTATGTACTTAAAGCTGATGTTCTGAAGGCTTAAGAGCAAAAGTCTGGATTCTTCTAAAACCAACCTATTATAACAGTACATACACATGAACTGAAGAATAGAATATTAGGAAGATCAAAAGGTGAGTTACTCCTGCTCATTTCTTTCAGGATAGCCTAAAACTGGTATTTGGGCAATCCCTGACAGATATTTATCTAATCTCCTCATTGGAGGGTTTTTACAACCTGCTTGAAGAACAGACTCTTGTTAGTAACTGTTCTTACAGTTAGCATGCTTTTCCTCATATTTGGTCTGTTTCTCCACTGCTGTGCATTAGGATTGCTTACTTACACCTTGTATATCAAGAACAATTTTTCTTCAAACTTCCTTGGCTTCTTTTAGTTTTAAGACCCTGGTGAGTTTTCCAGTACACTGAGAGTGTTTGCCAAGATTTTTTCCAAAAATTTTTTACCCCAAATCACATTAACCAGAATGAACTTGCACCATTTCATATTAAAATTTATCATAAAGTATAAAATCAGATCTTAGTTCTTCTTAAAAGCTATTTTTAAATCCTCTGCCCTATAAGCCTTGTTCTGCAAAACCAAAACACTCCTATTCTGCCTTCAGATTCAGCTTTATCAAAATGGACACTGGAGCAGCAAACAAAAATAGCAGTGAACAGTTTGATTACTGACTTCTACATAATTATCTCTTTTCATTAAATAACTACCACATAAGGCCTTGTTTTTACCTCCAAAAACAACAGCATCATTCTTAAAGGCCAGGTGGGGAGTGTGCCTGGGAGAGTCAGTGGGTGAGTGCTCCTCTGGCATTGGTGTGGTGGGCCCCTCTGTTGGTAAGAGCGTTTCAGTCACACATACGACACGGAATCTCTTTTTCAGGAATTGTTCTGACTCAGTCACAGTCTCACTGGGCACTGTTGTGATGTTCTCAGTCAAATCAGAGGCTGAATATGCAGCTAAGTCCCTTGATGCAGTTGATAAAGGAAATGTGGTTGTAGTTGGGTCTGGTTGACATGAATTAATCTGAACATCTGCAGCAGGGAAAAGAAATACGTAAAATTTGTGTTGAATGCCAGCTTTGCACTTAGTGCACACACATCTATTGAAGTTGTTCCTCAGTCTTTCCTTTCTAGAAATTTTTAATTTTTTATTCAAAAAAGCTTTACCCAAACCAGGCAAATATATCCTATTTCAAACATGTGGTTACAACTTAGATTATACAGCTTTTATCAGTACTCACACACACTCCTTTGAGCAACTGTGATACACATTTTATGATTCCATACCAGACTATATCCCTCATGAAAACTACTTAGAGTAATACTGCACATAAAACCCAACAGTATAACATCCCACAGAGCAGGGAGCAGCTTAACTGCAGATTCAATGTTAAAAAGTATTTCAATTATATTATATATATGTTCAAAATATATGCATGTACTGTTGATATTTGGAAAATTAATTTGATCTCCTGTAACATAATGTAGCCCAAAAAAGGCACCAGTGTGAGATAATAAAGAGATTTGATTGTAAGTGGGGAGGAGAGAATGGGAAGCAAAAAACTTCATGTTTGAAGAAAAATAAGTAATTTCCAAAAATTTAGTCATTTAATAGAAGTGGACGTTGTCTGTATAAAAATGTAGGTGCAAGTGAAGTTTTATATGGAATTGGAAAAGCTGAGTTCTGATTCAGGCTCCTGTGAAAATGTGAAAATTCTACTTTGCTAGTGAAATTCTATATTATGCAAAGCTACAACAATTTCACTAAAGTAACAACCAAGTTAACATAAATACCAGGGAAACGATGTATGTGCTGTTTTCCAAGTGAATCCCCATGGGAAGTCTGATGACGCAGTCACCTTTACAGAATGAAATGCCAAAGGGCAGGGACTTGACACTTTTCCCACTATGGTTTTTCAAGAGCTTTTGGCAAGTTTTTTTGGCACAAGAAAACTGACAAAATGAGCTTCTGACAAATACTTCGGAATGAAATGGAAAGAAATGCCTAGAACAGGCAACAGTTTGGAAATTAAGAAAAAGGAGTGCAGAATCATCCTAATGTGAAGTATACATTTAATGGTTTTCTAATCATTGAGCAAACTTGACTTTTTTCACACACTCTAACTGTATATAGTTGATTTTTTTAATTAAAGCAAAACAAAGCAAATAATTTGGAGTTATTTGCTACCTCTTTAGCATCACCCAATCTACCCAACACTTTTGATGCAGAATAACACACATTTCGTGCAGTGAATGTGGCATAGGCCTTCTCTCTGCAGCTTTATCCTCAGTCTCTTTGGAGACTCCAATGTTCACAGTCACCAGGCAGAGTCTCAGTCTTTACATCTTTGCATCTCCATCTTTCTCCTGCTTTCCAGCCCTTGTTCCCACAGTGCTCCTGAAAATTTTCAGGATTTTTTACATATCCTTTTGCTCTTGTTATCTAAAATTCATTGGCCAAGTCTAGGAACTGATTCTAAATAATTATATTATCCTTTTTTTGGTCTAATTATTGAAATATTTGTCATGTAATAACCATAGAGATGGGACACAAGTACAAACACAACATCTCTAGTTACTTATTTTTAGTAGAAGCCATTAAGAAACAATATTGACCTATTGTGCTGAGATCTAACTTATATCAAGGCCCAAATTCTACTGTTGAACTTCAGTCTGTAAATAGCCAGTGAGGAGAAGGGCAGGTCTTTTAACACTTAGGGTGATGCAAATTAAAAAGAACTGTTGGATTTTACTGATTAGGAATCTAATTAACTTTATGGTCTCTTGAAGTTCTGGCTTGTAATTTGATTTTACTTAATGGATAGACCTCCCTTTATAAAAAAAAAAAATTCTAATTTTCATTAAGTAACTCACTCTTAGCCTTTTTGCAAAAGCAGACACATCACACACAGACACCCTGATTAAAGATTAAGTCACTCTTTTTAAAATAATCGTACCAAAATAATAAAAACATATTAAAAGCATTGCATCAACATTAAGTAATGGGAAAAGCAACTCTTCCTCAAGAGCTTTAATGTCAGCACCACATTGTTAACTGGGATTAACTGAATTCACCTTTTGCATTTCTTGGAATCTTCTGAGCTAAGAACAGCTGGACAATGTTTAAGACTGCGGGGGGAGGGTCAACAAATTATAGGAAATTACTCACTTTTATGATTTTTTCATGCAGATTTAAAAAATCTAATATAATCCAAAACAAAAAGAAAATGCAGTTGTCATGCTTACATACCTGAGGAATTGAAGCAGTAGAGATGAAATTTTTTATCCTTGCCAACATTCCATTGTACTATTCCAGTTTTTCCCTGACCACATTTCTGGTTGGATGTTATCCGTGGAATAACAGCAAATCCATCTTTCACCCATCCATAGCTGCAATAAAAAGGATCAGTGCTTTTAGTATGAGATTTATCACCAGCCTCAGCTGTGTGTGAAGGTGTTCACTAAAGGTAGTGGGCCAATAACTGATGGCACATACTTGCATGTTTCAAAGCCATGTTTCAAAGCCTCTTCAACTTGTATTTTACTTGCCAACTCCAGGTTGAATTGATTACATCCATTACTTGCTTCTGAAAAATTGGCTTTCTGATCAAGATAAATTCCTATGCCCTTGATCCTGCAAGGTGAATTAATGGAACCTGTAATTAAGCCATAAAATAGTCAAGGTTAGTATTTTAATATTAAAATTCATTCCTCATGAAGAATTTTAGATCAACTGAATTGAATATTTTTTTAAATTTCTAGCTTGAGGATAGCAGAAAACTAATTTCTAGCATAAAAGACATTTTAAAAATAGAATGTATTTTTTAAACACAATAGTCTGAGATTTCAAGAGGCTTGACTGTCCTTAGACTAAATGCATATGCAGCCTTTTTTCTCTTTTTTTTTTTTTAATGAATTCAAGCCAGCTGTTGCACCAAGGCATTGATTCTGTTATGACACCCTTCTTATCAAGATGGTAAGGTATATAAAAGCAAAGGAATTATACATAACTTTTCATGGAATTAATATATCAATAAGGAAATAAAACTACTTTATAATTTCTGATGTTCCTTATTCCTCCTAAACTCTTTTTTTCCCCCTAGCTTTGCGCGATGCTTCCCTCCCTCAGCCACTATCAAGTTTTCCATTTACTGCGTTTGGGAGGCAGCAGGAAAAGAGAAGATAGGCAGAATGTAACACTTTCCCAGGCAGTTCATCCAGCTTTCTAAATAGCCACAGCTGGCACAGTCTTTGTGACACCTGCACCAGCAAGTGCATAGCTCAGATTACACCTGCTCTTCTTTCTCATCTGTGTTAAGGGCATAGGACAAAATTCAGAATTTGGCACAAATAAGGAGAAAGGGTATTACTATTTTGCCTCCATATTTTACTGGGAACATTTACTGGGGAAAAAAAATATTATTTTGGAGTTACATACAGTAATTGCCCTGTCAAATGAAACATTTCAGCATTTGATTACAGACATGTCAGATAACCACCAGTCGCAGGTGTTACATCCCTGCTCAATATGTTTGTCAGACTGTATTCACTAGGTGTGTGCACTAATGTGTATTTCACAAAATCCGTGCTTCAGAATGCAGGCAGTCCATAAACTCTCAAGGTAGGATGAAGTGATGCCTCCAAATCCACCCCATGAGTTCTTAACAAGACAAGTTAAACTGAATTTTATGAATGAAAAGATAGAACTGGCAGCCAAGCCACTCTTGCAATGAGAAGGGGTAAAAGGTGACTAAGCTTGTGTGGAGTGCTAAGAAACCAGACAGGCTTTTAGCTCCTGCTTCCACTGGATGTGGTGGGGCTGGAAATGGCTTTTGGAAAATGATGCATCTCTGGTGTCCTTACATTTAGTTTAAATATTTGGAAGAGCTGCATTTTAATCAGGTGGCTCTATCTCAGCAGAGAGGGAAAGCCACTGAACCCTTGAGCAGTCCCCTCAGACAAATTATGGCTGCATCCAGCCCTGACCTGAATGTAAGTCAAGCCCAAACACATTGCAGGGGGATGCAGAGAAGCCCTGGTGCTCAGTGAAGCTGTGCATGCTGTTAGCAAGGACTTCAAGTCTGCTTTATTTAATCTATTATTTTCCTATCTTCAGATTTGAGCCAACACAACTTTTAAAAAATGTGATGTTGAGAAAGGAAGCTTCTCAATGACCAACTTAAAAAATTTCAAATAAATCTGAGCAAAGGAATTTAATCAACTTTTAAAAAATTACCTAGGTACTTGTGAACTGCTACTCTCATTAATCATTCAATTACAGGACAAATATTTTCACATGTGTATTGCAAGTTAGATACACAGCATAATATAGAAATTCAGTGCCAAAAACTTAGGTTGCAAATTATAAGATAAGTGACTCTAGGATATGGACCAAAATTGTATCTTAGAATTTGCTAGGCCTTTTAACTCAAAACATTGATTTAATGATACATTTTGTAAAAGTTATGAATTTCATACTGTGAGGAAGGAATCCAAAAAGAGAACAGTAGCCTTTTCAAGTCTCTTCATAGCTCATTAAATCATCTCTGAACACTGATCTAAAGATGGCTGAGTTTGTGCAGGAGCAGACTAATCCTTTAGAAGTACATTATCCTTTGTGGTCCACAAGCTGAACATAGTTATACTTTAAGCTCTGCTCTATTTAGGTAACCTAGTACTGGCACGTTCTACTCAGTATTTTGGTCTTGGGTTAAAAAATCTGGTTTATAGAAATAAGTGAGAAGACCTAGACAGAAGAATGACAGTATGACAAAGTTGCCATAGAACAGGAAGAAAATTGTTCAGTTTTTAGTTTTTGTAAGCTGTGGATGTTGGCCTTGTTATGTATTAGTTCCCTTTCTGTTTGGTTTTTTTTTTTGTTTGGTTTTTTTTTTGTTTTTTTGGTTGTTTTTTTTGTTTGTTTTTTTTTTTTTTTTTTTTTTTTTTTTTTTTTTTTTTGTTTTTTTTTTTTTTTTTGAGGGGGAGCTGTTGTTTTTCTCTTTGCCTTGTGTCTAACCTTCACTCTAATTTATTAGAGTTCCCTTTGGCTGCTGGTGTCAGGGAGCAGCAAGCATGAGGCTGCTCCACAAGGAAGGGGGCCAGGAGCAAAGGGTGACAGGCACAGTCCCACAGCACCTTAACAGCACCACAGTGGGGATGGTGGTGGGTTTCACTGCCACCCAGAGAGCAAGACAATGAGTCAGACATCCATAAAGTCCATTTGGGAAAAGCAGGAGATGGTTCTATGCATGCCTGAAGTCTATCCTGGAGATAAGGCTACCTGCAGCCTACATCCAGAGTCCATATGTGAAGCCCAGACAGCAAATCACTACAGGAGGGAAAAAGCCCAGACAGTAAATCACTACCATAAAACAGCTCCAAAACACAGCTGGGGATCAGCACTGAGGTTAACTGGAGCTCTTGGAGCCATGAGGGTGCATGAGAAGGTGTCCCAAGGAAGGTCCTTGGGACTTCCTCAAGCTCTCCTTTTCCCCAGTGGAAATTGTACAGTGTTGGTTTTGCTGGAGGACACTGCTGTTGTTAGGTACTCCAGTCCTGTGGAATTTCAATAGGACTTGAACATCTAATTCATTCAGTCCAGAAGTCTTTCAGTAGGTGAGAAAATCAATTGTCTGCAATAACTGTATATGTTCTTTAACAGAAATAGAACAAGCATTAAGTCCTTGGAAAACAGAGAACCATCTGGAAGGTTCTGGTGTGCATTGTGCTTCTGCAGATATCCCAGCAGCTACTGCAGTAAGGATGGATTCTGTCAAGTTAATAATGGAATTTGAAAGAGAACTGGTGTCATATTTTGCTCTGGTATTTAAAATGATACAAAATAAAGTTACATTTCAATAGATCTGAACTTAATCCTAAATGCAATACCAGATCTTTAAAATAAGCAGTTCTGTGGCATTTAGATTCAGGCTTCAGCATTTTCAGCAATTAAATTAGACCAACAATGAAAGTTTCCCTACATGCCAGTTTTTGTTGCACTGTATTCTCAAAGCCCTCTGGCTTCCTCTGCCAGAAACACATTTTTTACACACGCTCCTTCCCCACATTTTTGTTTGTAAATCCAGCTACTTTTTCAAGACTTTAGAAAGTGGAACTTTACATACCTGTTACAAAGTAATTTTGAGCCAGGAACGTCATAACCCAGATGAAAGACACTGCTGAGGTAACTCCAAGATAATTTGCCATTGCCACCAGCTTGGAAAACTCAGAAAAGTAGGAAATTCAAGGTATTTTGTTGCCTGTGCTAAGGAATGTTAAGGTATTGGATGCTGTCAGGTGATGAGATGACTTCTGGAAAGCAACTTCAGCTGTCACTGCAGTGCTTCATAGAAAGAATGCCAGAGGCAGTGTGGTGACTGTCCCACTGCAGGGCGAGGTCACGGAGCGGAAATCCCTCATCACCCTTTCCACTGGCTTTCATGTGGGAATGGCTGGAAACTGTCACTGCTGCTGATTCGCAAAGCATGGCTGAGGAAGTGAGATAAGGCTGTCAGACTGCTAAGTCAGTAAACACTTCAAAAGAAGTTTTTCTTCTGCTATTTTTTCCTGTTTTACTGATGAACAGATCATTATTCATGTTGTCTATTCATCTGGTAAATAAAACAAATCTTCTATTGTATCATAATAAGCCACACAAGATTTTTCTTTTTTATTGGAACTGGAAGGGCATCCATTCCCCACTGTCCTATTTGTCTTGATGGAGTAGTTTTACTTTTTTTTTTTTTTCCTTAGAGTTCCAATGCAAAAGTAGTACTCACAACACAGAGGTAATATGAAACTTATTTTTAAGAGATTTGCAGATATGCTACTGTAAATGGGATTCCTTTTGAGACCACAGGTACAGAGGTGGCAGCCAGTGCCATCACTGCTGTCTTTTCTAACATTCCAACAGTGACTCACTTGGATTGGTTCAAAACACAGATGATCCTCACAGCTATGATTTAGAAAACCTTCAGGTAGTCTTAGAATATTTTTTCCAGAGGTTCCAATAAATACAGAGCAGGAATGGAGTTAAGGGATGGGCTAATCCCTTTAGTGTCAGTCATATCTGCTGTATCTACGTTATTCCTGACAGATGTTTGTCTAACCTGTTCTCAAAGATTTCCAGTGACAGATTCCTAACATTTCCTCTGATACTTCCTCTTGTTCAGTGCCTCACTGTTCTTTACAGTTCAAAGGTGTTCACTACACTAACTTGACTTAGCTATTCCCTGGTATAAACCTATCACTGCTTTTCCTGCTGGCAATGGACATGGAAGATAGTTTACTCCCTTATGTTTTGCAACTATTTTATGTTTTTAAAGACTTATGCCTCTTCTCCCAGTTTTCTTTCAGCTAAGAAACCCCTGCTGCCTCACTCTTTTGCTCCATGTGATGCCTTGCCAATGCCAAGATTAATTAATGAATTAATTTACCTGCTTTACAGTTCAGAATGGTGTCAGTCTCTTTATTATTGCAACCGTATGATTTTCTTACATCATGTTCAACTAGTGATTCAGCAAACTTTTGGATATCCACTGTCTCCAGGCTGTTTTCAGAGTCCTAGAAACACAAGTGTAACAGTGTAAAGCTACCTCTTTAAATTGTGGTTTGCATTTAGAAAGTCCCCAGCCAATATATGAGATAGCATTAACTTTTAATGGGGCACAGGCACAGCTCCTGCAGCAGCATGTAACAGGGTTATTAGATGGTGCTCTGTAACACAGACTGAACCTGAAGAGAATGCTTGGGGGTCAGTGAGATCATGTCTCCATTAGCAACAATGAAATGAAAATTGGATTGATTTCGGGCTGTGCTTTGGAAGTGAATTTGGTAAAACTCAATGACATCTTTACACAAAGTTCTAGCTCCAATTTCTGTTCCCTCCCTTATTGTGCTATACTTACCTCCCTCTACAAAGCCATGGCAAAGTCAGATACTGTAATCAGACTTAGCCCCACTTGAAGAAGGCTGTAAGATGATCCAGTGGCATTTACAAGGTAGAAGCAGGAACTAATTCTCGGTTATTCTGTAGTTCTCATGGACTATAGACTGTGGCTGTAAAAAACTGAGAACATTAAAATCTTTCCATTGAAAATGCTTACCTTGAACTGCTAAGAATTTCCTACCATGAAAACTAATAAATAGCTGGGTTTCTGACATTTTAAAATTGCATGCTACTTGTCCTGCCAGATCTTAACATTTTGTGCTGTGGCAAAGTTCCTTTAGTCAAACTCTTGATATTTAGTAGGATTTTTAGCTGTAAAAATGAGATAAACACCTTTGCAACACCAAGCAAAACTATGAGCTCCTTCATCACAAGGTCTTACAGATTAGAAGAGGTAGAAAATAATTTTAGAATGATGAAGCAAGACTGAAATAACTTTGTTTTTTGTCTATTTCTTCCTTTTTGTAGTTCAGCTGTTCCAAAACTGTGTGGAAGGCCACTTATCTGGACAGTAACAGTACAAAAGGTCTTTAACCTTTCGGTGTGCCTTCTTCATAATCCGTGTGGCTAAAAAATGCAGATCTATGCTGAATGATTAATTAGTCTTTGACCTAAATACTTATTGCAACCTATATGAAAAAATCCCTGCCTTTTATGTCAGCCTGTTTTAAAATGCTGATAAGGATTGCTAAACAGAAAACTTTGATACAGCAGAACACATGTAATTGTTCTCTACAATAATTTCAAAGGAACCTTGAAACCTGAACAACAGTAGAGGAAACAAAAAAATGTTCGTGTAGAAAATACAAATATCAGGGTCTTTCCATGGAACCAGTAATTCCTTTCCAGGTTGTTGATGTCCCAGAGTTTGTCTCCTGGCAGAGACCATCAGAGATTCAGAACTTGAGGACTGACTCATACCTACTGGTCAGGCAAGTCTGCTCCCCACTAGACTCAGGCTTCCCAGACCGCCCAAATCCATGAAGCAAACTGACCTTTCACCCAAAATCCTTGGGTTACAGATTTCTCTTGTGGCTCCCATGTTCAGCCTCCTCCGTGACACGTGGCCTCCCTCTGAAGCAGGAGTTAAAACTCTTTCCAGGATATTTCAGCTTCCTCTCTCAGCTGGTTTCTAGGGCATGGCAGGGATGATCCTACTTCCAAACATTTCTCCATTGACACAGGAGTTTGCTCTCCTCTTCTGTACCATTTTCCTGAAGAACTGGAAGACTAAGAGCAAGATGCTCGGAGTGTGTAACAGTGTCACAAGGCAGGACTTGTTTCATGAGGACATGGCCATCAATATGCAGACAGAGCAGCCCAAATCTTTAAGATAAAAACACTGAGGACTTTGAAACCATAATTTTATTTCAAAACTCAAGTATGTGATACTATACAGTACAATACCAGCACACTTGTGCAAAATCTTACAATATTACAAATTTAAATATGATACACAAAAATAGTGCCCTTTTGAAATTCCTTTTGCTAGAAACATTTGTGCTGTGCAGGAGAAACCATAAATGTGTCTTGTTAAAGCAGAAAAATAAATATTGCACCTTAATGAAACTATTTCAGTGTTAATAGCATAAATAATAGGTTTGTTTCTTGTTATCTGATGTGATCTTTGAACACAGAAGAGGTTGTTTGGCTTTTTTTTTTCCAGATAAAGCAAACTAATATCCAACAGATAAAACTGTATTTAGAATAGTTTTTGAGCTTAATCTAGTTTCCTATTAAACAAAAGGTGTTTTAATTGAATAACTGAAAAATATAAGCATAACTATTTAGTGTGCTGTTAGTCATTGTGATTTGTTATTTTTAGTGGACAGTTTGCTCAAAGTTGTTACAAAAAGAACAATTTTTTTTTAAAGTAAACTTTATCTTCATTTTTACACCCCCACTAAAATATTTTCCTCTTTCAGTTCATTTGTGGCTAAATTATACTTACTTCAGACATGCAAGTAGCTCAGCTCAAAACAGTACTACTTATGGGAACTACTTATGGGAATTGTCCCTTTGCACTAATTCCACAAGAAGCCAGTGTGCTGAATTTTAAGACAGGATGGAGACCTCATTCACCCACTGACCAAAAAGAGCTTTTCACATGCTTAACACTAAGCAATTAGAGAGTCTTGTTGATATCAATAACTTTTTATCTGTACCTAAAATAAGTTGTTGGATTACAACAGTGCAGATGCAAATAAAAACAAATTAATTCAATTACAGGCACTGTTAATTTTCTTCAGTGCAGCCCAACATTTCCACAGTCACATAAATATATGTCATAATTTTTGGCATAGAAAAATCTGAATATTTAGCAGTATTTACTTTCAATTTTATTGCCTTAAGTTACCAATGTTATTTGTAAAGAATATTAAGTTAAAGAAGCTGATTTTAGAAAAGAAGTATTAAAGAAACAACTGGCGAGTTTCTTCAAATACTGAAACTACCTGAAAGGTGTCAGTAGTTCTTCACAGTCAGAAATTCTAACTGAACCAGAATCCAAGTCATTTGCAAGAAACCTTCTCCTTATTCTTTACAATTGCAATTTTAGACCAAATCACACTTCCCCATTATCCTTTCTGAACTTCCTTAAGCACACTATTCCTCAATATATATACTTTAAAGTATAAAAATAAACCTTTCTAATTGCTTATAGACTCCCTTCCCCAGCCTCCAAAAAAATTTGGTAGTGTTTTTCTTTTTTTATTTAATTTTTTTTTCTTTCCCCATATTAATGTCTCCCTAAGAAACACATGGCCAACACAAATTCACCAGCAGGATATTTGTTATTAGTGCCAGGTATGTGAATTTCTGACTGAGTTAGAAACCTGTTTTTTTTGACAGCTTAAGATTCAGTGTTTCCACCAAAAGAAGACGGGACAATATTGACTGTATCAGAACTGAAATTACAGTACTTCATAACACTCTTATCCTTCTGTTGGAAAACAGACCCATTTCTCAACCAGAAAATGCCAGGAGGATGCAGGACAGGAGTGCAATCGAGGGTCACCCTGGATTTGCTGTTGTGGCTGTAGCTATGGAAAGACAGAATGGTTCACCTTCACTCAGAAGGGATGCTCAGCAGGTACAGATGGTACACCTCCAGTGACAAACATTTTGGTCTCAGCCCTAGGTGCTGGGTTTTGTACATGTAATGGCTTCACCATTTTCAAATTGCTTGTCCAAAAATGTCAGGCTTTCACATTCTTGTGTAAGAACTAACAACTCCCAAATAGGCAGAACTGGCAAAAAATCTGGGCAAAAGATTATTCTAGCTTGATGTGGTAGTCAGTCCAGCTTTGGAAGTGTATTAGATCAGTTTTGATCCTGGCATCAGATTCTGAAAATGAGCTACTGAAAACATCAGTGAGCTCTCCTAAGGCCTCACTGCTACCATGGCCTGATTCATGTAGGCACTGGCTGGGTTCTGGCTGCTCTCAGAACTCTGTTCCTGCTGCGGATCTCAAAGAATGCCTATTCCAGTGTTAGCAGGAGGGCAGGGTCCTCTTGGTATGGTCACCTCCATACAGAAGTTTGAAGAGCTTTTGCTTTCTTTTTCAATCAAGAATTGAAGATTGCTTCCCATGTCCATGACTGCTGTGTTTTGGGCTTGGGTGGCACACGGACCTTTCCAGGCAGCTACCACTTTTGGCTGTAACCAGTACTGACTCTGACTGGCACACATACCATTTTGGAAACCTTTA